ATCCTGGCTGAACTTGCAGGAACTGGGGAAAAAAACTCATTGATACTCGGATGGGAGACCACCAGGTGATCACAACCCTGTAGGCTCAGCTGCAGAGACCCCCCTCCTACCCCACCTCCCCAAAAAAACAACAACTGCAGAGGAATGCATCACAAATGACAACCCCTTTTGTTGCTGGGGAAATTCCCAGCTCCACCCATGGGAGACTTGAACTCGCCGCTTCGGTCGCTATAAGCGGTCCTCAGCTTACGACGGATCACTTCGCAATAGTTCCAAGTGACGACGGACTCTCTCTCTCTCTCCAAACTGTACTCACGACCCAGTTCCGGCAAGCAGCCCGCCCGCATTGCAGTTGTGTGATCACAATTTATGATATTTCGGAGTGAAAATTTCCCCGGTTTTCCGGGAAAAAACTCGCCATAGTGCAGCCGAGGTGGCGCAGTGGTTAGAGTGCAGCACTGCAGGCCACTTCAGCTGACTGCTATCTGCAGTTCGGCTGTTCAAATCTCACCGGCTCAGGGTTGACTCAGCCTTCCATCCTTCCGAGGTGGGTGAAATGAGGACCCAGGCTGTGGGGGCAGTCCCGCCTTATCCATGAAAACTGGCCGGGTGACTTTGGGCCAATGACCCAGAGACTGGGAGTTCTAGTCCTGCCTGAGGCATGAAAACTGTCCGGGTGCCTTTGGGCCAATCACCAGATTGTGAGTTCTAGTCCCACCGTAGGCACAAAATGCAGCTGGGTGACTTTGGGTTAAGCACTGGGAGATTGGGAGTTCTAGTCCTGCCTTATCCATGAAAACTGGCCGGGTGACTTTGGGCCAATGACCCAGAGACTGGGAGTTCTAGTCCCGCCTTAGCCATGAAAACTGGCCGGGTGACTTTGGGGCCAATCAACCAAGAGACTGGGAGTTCTAGTCCCACCTGAGGCTTGAAAGCCGGCTGGGCCAATCACCAGGAGATAGAGAGTTCTAGTTCTACCTTATGCACAAAATGCACCCGAGTGACTTTGGGCCGATCACTGGGAGTTCTAGTCCCGCCTGAGGCACGAAATCCAGTCCTTCTCTCTGAGCGCACCCCAACCTCACGGAGTGAATGTATTATGGGGAAAAGGAGTATTAAGATATATTTGCCACCATGAGCTGCTTATAAAAGTGTCGTAAAGACAGGATGTAAACGAATAAGGAAAGGGGAAAAAAACCCCACAGAGGCGTCCCGGGTGATTGTCCTCCACCCCGTCGGAAACTCCCCCCATCCCTATGGGGCAGTTTTCTCCCAAGCCAGACCTCCGCTGTAGCTTTAGGAAAGACCAAAAGTTTTTGAGCCTGGCAGAGGGTCAGTATTGACAGTCCAAAGGTGATTGGCGTGGGGCGTCCGGTGACAGCGGCAGCAGAAGAGACGGCTGACCCACAGCTCCGGCTCTGGGAATCCTAAAGGAGAAGGTAAGAAAAAGGCCATTTTTTTCATTTGTTTTGCATGCGCCCCCCCCTCCCCCGGAAACCCCCAAAATGGCCAGAGAGAAGATTCTGCCTCTACTCCAACGGCGTCCCGACTCCTTCCTTCGTTTGACAGAATAAGGGCAGAACAACAGAATGGGAAGGGACCTTCTTAAACCCCTGCTCAAGATCTAGAAGCATCTGGGTGAAAGGGCCCTTGGAGGTCTTGTAGTCCAGCCCCCTGCCCAAGATCACCAACACTAGTATAGGGTCTCCTGCTTCAGCAGGGGGCTTGGACTAGAAGTCCTCCAAGGGCCCTTCCAGCCCTATGTTTCTATGATCTTAGGCAGAGGGTTAGACCAGTGTTTCTCAACCTTGGCAACTTGAAGATGTCTGGACTTCAACTCCCAGAATTCCCCAGCCAGAAACACTGGGTTAGACTAAAAGACCTCCAAGGGCCCTTCCAGCCTTATGTTTCTATGATGCTTGGCAGGGGGTTGGACTAGAAGTCCTCCAAGGGCCCTTCCAGCCCTATGTTTCTATGATCTTGGGCAGGGGGGCTTGGACTAGAAGTCCTCCAAGGGCCCTCCAGCCCTATGTTTCTATGATCTTAGGCAGAGGGTTAGATTAAAAGACCTCCAAGGGCCCTTCCAGCCCTATGTTTCTATGATCTTAGGCAGAGGGTTAGACTAAAAGACCTCCAAGGGCCATTCCAGCCTTATGTTTCTATGATGCTTGGCAGGAAGTTGGACTATAAGTCCTCCAAGGGCCCTTCCTCCCCTATGTTTCTATTATCTTGGGCAGGGGGCTTGAACTAGAAGTCCTCCAAGGGCCCTTCCAGCCCTATGTTTCTATGACCTTAGGCAGAGGGTTGGAGTAAAAGACCTCCAAGGGCCCTTCCAGCCTTATGTTTCTATGATGCTTGGCAGGGGGTTGGACTATAAGTCCTCCAAGGGCCCTTCCAGCCCTATGTTTCTATGACCTTGGGCAGGGGGCTTGGACTAGAAGTCCTCCAAGGGCCCTTCCAGCCCTATGTTTCTATGATCTTGGGCAGGTAGGGCTTGTGAGGGCAACTTTCATTCCTCTGATTAATTGTTGTTTAATCCCCATTGGAGTAAGTGCATGGGGAGCAGAAGTGGTATTCAGCCGGTTTGTGGTGGCCTTTCCCCAAGGTCGGAGAACCGATAGCAATGGCCAGTTGGCTATACCCCCAAACTGGTCCTCCTGTTGCTCCTCGCTCACCCTCCTGCTGCCCGCTTGCCTACCACTCACCCCCCCCACCTGCCTGACACTCACCTGCTTGCTCGACACTCAACCCACCCATCCAAGCCCTATATATGCCTTTGCTACACGGCCCAGCCCCCAGCTACGCACCTCGCCAGTCGCACCTGCGCCTCGCCTGCTCAGCTTCCAAGTCCAAGGCATGCACATGTGCAAAGATGGTGGCGATGGCAGCTTTCTTCTCGCCGGCCAACCAGCACCGCCGTCGCTCCCTCTGGATGGGCTAACAAAGGGAGTGAGTGGTGGCTGTGGCCTCGGTCTGGCGCGAGCTGCAGGCCTGGCCTGGGGAGGTGGGGAGCATCTCACCTGGGCGGCTTCTGCAATGGCTATGAGAGGAGTACCCCTTCTCGCCTGGGCTCTGGGCTACGAGCTGCGGTGTCCCCCAAAAAGTGTCAAAAAGTCCCACAAATTTTCACCACCCACCACTGATGGGAGGTAACCAGCCATGGCGTACATTGAGCCTTGTGTTATCTCCTCCAACAGGTGTTCTTATGCAGTTCTCTCTCATACTCAAAAGAGTGTTAGGTGATTTGAAGCTGTGGGCCAAGATTTAAGAGATACCTTTGGTTCTGTGTTCCCCTCCAGTCATGGGAGGGTTTGCCCACCAGGACTCCTTACGACAACGCCTTTGTTCCGGCCGTCGGCTGATCCTCATCCTCATGGGACTTCTGGCTGTGGTTATCCTCTCCCTCGTCATGTTTGGCTTCCTGGGTGAGTAGGAAATGTGAGTGGGTGATTGTCTTGTTGGTAGTTAAGCTAACATCAGAGTTATTGTTCCAGAATGCCCTTCACTCGTTCACGGCACCCATTGGTTTGGGGGTGATGGGAGAAGATAAGTCCTTACGTGGTGCCCAGCATCCTAAGGAACTGTTGGCAAAATTGAGAAGTGAATTGAACTCTGCGGTCTCGAGGTGATCCACTCGGGAGAACCATGGAGCCTCTATATGTGTTTGACAAAGAGTTTAGCTCTTTGAAGAAGGGATTTTGGGATATAGTATGGAGTGTGATTGTATGGAAAAGAAGTCAGTTACAGCCCCGAGCACTGTGAGATTTCTAGTAATTTCCCTATAAAGTCCATAGAAATTTCTTAACTGCAGGAGACATGGGAAGAAGTCTCTGTGACAGGAAACCACAATTCCTCCAGGGTCTGCGTATATGCACCCTCCACCCAAACTTGTAAACTCTACCATCTACTGGCTGGGTACTTGAGAGACCGCCTACTGCCAATTACCTCCACTAGACCGATAAGATCGCATAGATTAGGCCTCCTCCAAATCCCATCAGCCAGCCAGTGTAGACTGGCA